AGAGGAGCACTTGAATAAACTTGAGCGACTCCAAAATCTATGTATACGGTTTATTTCTGGCCTTAAAAAATATGACCTAGTTTCTTAATTTCGTAAAAAGCTCAAGTGGCTCCCAATCCGATTTCGCAGGAATACTCATATTCTTCATCTTCTCTACTTTATCTGGTATCTATTCATATATTATATGGTATATTGGTATTGGTATATTTTATCTGGTATCCATAACACAAGCCTCGTAGCTTACCATGGAACTAGATGGTGCTGTGTGTTAATGTCCCAACAACATATTTCTACTGCGTGCTGTTTAATTCTTCAACTCCTATCTATCTGAAAGACCGTTTTGAGTTTCTGGGTGATTCTCATGCACTTCCCTCTTCTGCTCAGAACTTCCTTCTTGAAATTCCTACTTACTCTTCCTGTTTCTTCACAAATTATTTATAGTAAAGGCCGACCAACTGTAGAATCTATCTATCTATTCCTTTAAGCATTAGATGAGCTAAAATCCTAGATAAATTTAAAAGCTTATTATCTGCCTTTTTAAGCCTTTCTTCTTTAAGTTCTTTCCCCTTTCTCTCTTTAGTCCTTTCCCCTAATATCATCCTTATTATTATTTCCTCTATTATGTTCTAGTATCTAAATCTATATATTATTTGGTTAATTATTTTCTTTTTCATGTACATATATATGTATGTATATTTGTTTATATGTATGTATCTTTATATGGATTTGTATATGTATCTATTTATCTTTAGGTATCTATATATTATGTAAACATGTCAAAGCAATAACCACCGCCAGCCGTGTTTATAAAAACTTACTCCTCCACCTCAAGGTTTCCTGGAAGCGATCGCTTCCAGCGATAGGACCCCCTGCTGTGCATCTTTTCTTTGTGCTCTTTTTATTATTTTTTATGTTTATTTTTTGGTGTAAAATAAAGAATATTATTATTATTATTATTACAATCTCGGTACAAGGTTGAAGGCAAACCTTAACTTTGGCGATGACATCGAGTCTAAGGCACAGACTGCAACCAAAAAACTGGGTATCCTAAATAAGGTTAAGCGATACTTCACGCCTGGACAGCTTCTCACTTTATACAAAGCTCAAGTCCGATCATGCATGGAGTATTGCAGCCGCCTTTAGGATGGCTCTGCAAAATACCAACTTGCCGCTCTTGACTCGGTGGAACGCAGAGCCAAAAAGCTGATCGACGACGAAAAGCTCGTGAAAACTAAGCGTCACAGCTTAGGACACCGTCGTCAAGTGGCTTATCTGTCGGTTTTCTACAGACTATACTTCGGGGAGTGTGCCCACGAGCTCCATGGTCTCTTACCGCCAGTACCATTCTTCCATCGGAACACCAGACATACTGAAGGATACCATCCTTTTTTGTTTGATATTCCGACCACTCGCACTAAGCGCTATTCATCATCTTTTACAATGCGCACAGCTAAGAAATGGAATGCCCTGCCTGCTTCTGTTTTCCGAGTGCGTACAACCTAAAACTTTTTAAGGTGCGTGTTAACAGGCTTCTCCTGGGCAAACTCGCTAGATCATAGACCTTATCTATACCTTCGAGCTAAGATGAAGGTCAAGAGTGAGCCCATTTTTAATAAAAAAAATATAGACTGATAGACACATTACCCTCCTTTGCGTCGCGCAGTAGGCTAAAAAGTGAAAAAGGGAGAAAAAAATGAAGTAAAGTCATAGTGTAAGTGTAATTAGTTATGAAAAATAGTGCTTAGTAACTGAGTTAAGTCAAAACTGTGCATGTACTGCATATATTTGTGAACCACCATAAGTGACTCATGTAAACCAAAAGCAATAAAACATCCATAGTGCAAAAGACGTACTTTAATATTTGATCCCAGAACTCATAGAACGTAACAATGTATTGTATTGTATTTATCAATACATTACTTTATAAACTGAGCCATAACTGTTATATCATTTTACTGTAAAAATTCTAATGCTATTTTTAGTTCCATAGTTCTAAGAGAATTAAGTAACGCGCGAAATTTGTGCGTTATTGTATAGTGATCTTTCAATTCTATCCGTGTTTTGTATTTTGATTGACTAATTTGAACAAAAAGTGGTTGTTGGGACTTAACTATAAAATTTAGAGTATATGTTATAATATATGTATATGTATGAGTTAATACTATAAACATGTAGCACATTATTTTATGTACCACCAATAGTTTCCGCAGCGCACGCCAAGATATAATTACTTATAGATTTTTGATACCTTGCATTACATTATTGCAATTTTCGTGGAGATCTCTAATTTTTTTTAAATGAAATACAACATAGGCTACTTTTCATCCCGGAAAATGTATGGTTCCCGTGGGACAGATTTGTTCTTGTATATGTAGAGGTGGACCCGAGCGAAGCGAGGGTGAGTCGCTAGTAATTAATAAAATAACAAATTCTGATTTTTATTTACACTGTAATATTATATGTTGCAAATCCATACTAATATTATAAACGTGAAAGCGTATTTGTTTGTTTGTTTCTTTGTCCTTCTTTCACGTGGAAACGGAACGACGGACTGGCGTGATTTTTTGTGTGGACATAGTTGGAGGGCTGGATAGTGACATAGGCTACTTTTTACCGCGGGATATTATCTAATTCCCATGAGAAAACACGTTATAATACAACCTAAATAAATATTTATGATCAGAATTACTTGAAACTTGATATTAATGCTCTTCAGTACAATTAAATAAATGTTTTAGCATTTTTCGAAATTCATCCCTTAAGGCATGAAAGTTTGTATGAAACCTACCTTTTTAGTTTTTCTGTAAATTTAGCGCGAGCGAAGCCGCGGGTTTTGCTAGTAACTTGATAATTTTCATAATAGTATGTGTCAACAAAAAAATTGTATATAACAAAAATAATTTATAGCAATTCAGAAGTCATTTCAAAACATGACATAGATAGTTAAAAATACACGTGCGATGTTCAGCATAAATAACATTAGTGTAGAAAAATAAATCGTAAAATTAAAATGTTCTTAAACCAAATTATGACTTTTTTATATTCAATTGTTTACGCGAGTAAATTGATTTCTTGAATCTATACTAATTACTAATATCATAAATGTGAAAGTTTGTAAGTATGGATGTATGGATGTATGTATGTTTATTACTCTTTCACGCCAGAACGGCTTAACGGATCTGGATGAAATTTGGCATAGATATAGATTATAGTTTGGAATAACACATAGGCTACTTTTTAATCGGGAAAATGTAAGGTTACCGTGGGATAGGTTTGATTTTGTCTTCCAAATAATTTGTGTTCTATAAAATTATATGAGGAAACAATATAATAACATTTTAAATGATCGAAAGCAAGCAGTCAGTGTAGTCTCTATGCAAGTCAAGAATTATAGTGTAGGTATATATTATGTTTATGATGAGAAAATGCCAAACTAAACTACCTATTTTGCGACATTTTTTTATTGTCCGTTCTCCACTTGCTTTGCCGTTCTCCGCTTGAATCACACCACGCTTCTTTCACTTTTGGAAGGACACTAGTTCTTTCTTGAATTCATAGATAATTAAAAATTAATAACACAAATCAAACATTAACAGAGCCCACTCTAACGTTTGAAAGAAGACTAGATTCATATCTCATTCTTGTAAACAATCGTGAATCGGCATACTACAGTAAACAATAGACGATTTTTTTGGTCAACATTGCACTAAATTTCCGATCCAATTTTTTTATTTTGTAAAACTTGCCGTTTACGATTTATGGCCCATTTAATGTACCGGTTCTTCTATCTCGACCGATAAATTTTAAAATATTAGTTTAATCAATAAAATGCATCTATCCATTTTTAAAGATCCATTTATATTTTATTCTCTACAACTTTTGTTTAAAACTTTTTTCTAATGTCCATACTTTTTGAGCTATAGGACGTTCATATCGTATAACGAATATCAAAATTGATTTGTTTTACTTTCCACACTTTACATTTACTTACACACATACTTGGCACAGACATTGGCACGAAAATATCTGATATGATGCCAGCCGACAATGCTTTAAGAAATGAATATCTTATAGGTATGAACAGTCTAAATCTTTCAATCTACATATTATATATATTTGTGATGCATTTATATGTACACTAGCACTGCCCGCGGCTCCGCCCGCGTTCAGATGACCAAAAACCAAATTCTTAGGTTTTACATATTAGTATACTGTTACATTGCAGTTTTTGTATTTTTACAAGAATAAGAAATTTTCTTGTAAAAATACATAAAAAATAAGAAATTTTCCTGTTGTAAAAAAGTATCCTATATGTTGTCCCGGATAACCAGCTATCACCATACCAAATTTCATCATAATCCCTCCAGTGGTTTTTCTGTGATGCGGTAACAGACAGACAGATAGATTCGGCCTCTGTATCGAAAATAATGTCTATTTCAATAAGATTTTCCAAAAAATATTTAATGTACAGATTTGACTCAATTAGAATTTTATTATATGTATAGATATCGAAGTAGATTTGCTTTGCTCTAAACCGGCTGGCACCGATTTAAAAAATTTATTATGTGATTAGGTACTAGTATTTATTGAAAACCCCGATCAGTTCTTTTTTAATACTTAGTGTCTAGAAGTCAGCTTTAATTTTTTAAGGCTTTTTTTTTAGTGCCTGGAAGTAGGTTGTTTTTTTAAGTTCTTTAAATTAAATCAAATCCAACAATTTATTTACATTACACAATTTATATGATTTAAAAATTAAAAGCTTTTAGCGCGATTTATCTATTCTTAGACGTATTATTTTTTAACATTTTGTTTCTTTTTTATCTACACAGGTCCATTTTTAACAACCATCGTTTTGGGGTCTATATCCTGTTCACAATACGTAAGCCTAATTTTTTAAAATATTTCATGAATAGATTTGACTTTGCTCTTTCAACGAAAAAAATATTATATTATGTACTTAATGATATAGATAATAGTGTTTGGTAAAACTAAGTACTTACTTTTTTTTAATAATCCTGTTGATACTTCCATACAGATATCTTTAAATTCAACATCGACGTTAACAGGTGTCGGCATGTCTATTTGAATATTTCGATAATTTCCTTTGCTTTGCAAATTCTTATCTGCGCCTCGGTGCAACGCTAATGCATCAGGCATGATTCACTTTTATTATATATCAAAAAAATACCATTAACAATATTTAATACTAAGTTTTTTATATAATAAATCTAATTTTGTGTGTAGAAAGTGTAAATTTTAAATATGTAATAAAAAAAAATGTTTGTTAAGCGGCACTACGTATGAGTTATTTTCACAACAGTGCTTCACGGACGCGGGTGCCTCTGTAACTGGCGCGTTCACAACTTGAGATATGAGATATTGACGATACGGTATATTATTTCATACCTACTTCAAATTAGACTGAAATATTAGCACAATTATTTATTGCTCACTCACTACCGTTTACATACACATTCACGTTTTAACTATTATATATGTATAATATGTATATATATAGTGTAACCAGATATTATATAAGTTGAAGAATTATTTAAAATATAAAAACTCAAAAAAAACCGACTTCCAGGCACTAAAATGTAAAAAATAACTAAACGAGGGTTTTCATTTAGTATAATAGATACCTAATAGGATATTTTCGAAGTCGGTGCCAGCCGATGCATTTATATCTATATCGAAATCTAATATATTTTAATACGTAAAATACATATTTACCTATTAGATATTAATAACTTAAAATGTTGTCCACTGGCACCGACTTCGAAAATATCCTATTAGGTATCTATTATACTAAATGAAAATCCTCGTTTAGTTACTTTTTACATTTTAGTGCCTGGAAGTCGTTTTTATTTTTAAGTTTTTATTTATATATTTTTAGTGTAGACGTAATAAGCAGGTAATTTGTAGGAAGAAAGTTTTGAATAACATATTCGATTAAACAATTTGTTTAAAAAATATATTTATTGTTTATTTTTTTAAAAACCGCTCGACCGATTTCGATAAAATTTATATGGGACCACCTGGGAAGTATACCCCTTCAAACACAACAAAAATTTTCCAAATCGGTTCAGGCGTCTTCGAGTAATCGGTGAACATACAATATTAAAAAAAAAGATTCCGACAAACTGAGAACCTCGTCGTTTTTGGAAGTCGGTTAATTAATTATTTTCACCCGTTAAATACGTTAAGCCAATGATTTATTATGCAGATTGGCGCGTTTATAGTGCATCTTCCATCAGTTTGTATAACTTTGCTAGTGTATAATGTACTTATTGACATTAAATTTATAAAATAGCACGCCTGAACCATTCATAAAACGCAGTCGTATAATAAAATATACCTATCAATACGGCTGTCATTCTATGACAAGGACGGCTAACGGGAAATAGTTATAGGTAAGAGACAAAACACTTTTTTCCTTCTACAAATAAATTGATACTTATGTTTAAATATGAAAATAATTTCATTTTATTGCATTTATAATTAGTCCCTCAACGACCGCGGACACGCCAGCGTTACAGTTAACAATAGATTTCTTAGAAATTTACCTGGAGGTGGTCTTGCTATGTTGTAAAACTAATATTTTTATTAGGAGTTTAAATTGAGAAGCTATACGAATTAAGGTAATCGTGCTAGCTATTAGTAAGTAGCTGTTAGTAGAAGGTAGTGCTCAAGAGATTAAGTTAAAATTTTATTTCGGCGTATAGCGGTATAGTGAGTCGTGAGTGTATGTAAACTTCTAAAAGCTATAGTAGTGTATGTTAAAGCTATAATTTTCGACCCAGAACTTTAGCTTGTAAGAATATAAACAATACGTTACTTAATTTATTTATTTTTTTAATTATATATTGCGTGCGCCAGCGATCCTAAAACGTGACATAAATATTATCACTGTGTTTTAATAAATAACAGTCTCACCACTCACTTTAACAATCCCTTGTCCGTGAACGGCCGGCAGGGATCCAAAGATGGGTTTCCCCAGTAACATAAAAAAGATACTATTCTTTGGAATTATTATTTGTCATTAATATAATTATTAGGCGATTTCAAAACAAAAATCATGACACAGACACTCAAGTCACTAATTGACATCGTTTAATATTTCGAAAAACAACTGAATATCAATCAAATTGTCATTAACTAAACTTGTTTTTTTTTTTAATAGGAGCGAGTTTTGAGGGTGTTTGCGTTTTGGTGATTGTCTTTATAACCCGGTTTTCTTATAGTAATGTAGGTACACATATAAAATTGGTCAAGTTGGAGTCTCACTAGTGCATTGAGTGCTCCGTAGCAATACACAATATATTTGTGTTAAATGTGTTTGTATTTTCTATTTAGCAATAACATAAATATCTTTATAATTCCTAGCTTAAATCTGACTAGCAATTAGCTGGTTTTCCAGCCATAATAACAGGTAATAAAAACTTTGTTATTTGCGTTTATTATAGAATGATTTATTTTATTAGTCGGTGATAAACGAAGGTGGCTATGTAACTGCATATGCATAGTATATAAATAATATGAAAGCTAGTGTATATGTATAATATCACTATAGGTACTTACTCGTATTATAAAACAAAGGCCTCCGCTTCGTCTGCTTGTCTGTCTCTTCACGATAAACTCAAAAATTACTGCACCGATTTTCATGCTCTTTTCACCAATGGATAGCGTGGTTCTCGAAGAAGGTTTTAGTATATCATTTGTTAAGTTTTTGTACATTGGCTAAAATATAACTATATTTGTTGGAAGTGTCGAAAAAAAATAAGCCGCCTGGGAGCTTTCAACGAAAACGCTGCCCTTTGAGATATAACAAAATAATGTATGGTGGAATTGTGTATCTTATATAGGTCTACAGAAAAGTCCGCGATGGCATATGTCTATCTCTTAAGGATAACATTCTATTTCCATTAATACCTAGGGGCGAACTCGAGCGAAGCGAGGGTGAGTCGCTAGTATATAATAAATATATGACATACGAGTAATTAGTTTTTGCTCGTATAGTAACCGAAGTGGGGAAAGGTATCCTATGCCCGTCTCCATGATTCAAAGTCCGTCTTCTACCTCCTTGATACACTTGATCGAAATCTGTTCAGCAGCTTAATGTAAAAAGGCAAGAAACACATAGATATAGTATAGGTATTTTCATATTTTTATTATTTATTGGTATGGATATGTTCAAAAAGCTCAAAAGATTGTACTTATGTGTTTGTACACTTAATTTACCTATTAAGTAAAGTATACCACAACAAACTACAGCCCAGGACCTCTAAGGTAAACAGGTAAAGGTCTAAGGGTCTCCTGTTGAAAACAATAGATAATATTGTGAATTTATAAAATAAAAATTTATGATTCTATTAATCTAATATCCTGAGATCAATGAAACAGAACCAAACAATAGCGTTATTTTAATTTCGCCTAGTGCCATCTATCATAATAGACTTTATAAAGGTAAAATAAAAATTGATTTAATTCTAATTAATTAAGCTGATTGTCATTTTTAAGCCTCCAAAAAGTGTTAGAGCTCAGGGCCGTCTGCCCCTGGTAGTGATGTTGTTGTAATAATTTATTGGTACTGCAAAAGACTGTCTTTTTGGCTATCCATCGTTAAACAGTGACACAGATTGACTATGATTAGGGGATATTATCCCTGTGAAAGAAAAAAAGCTACCTTTTACTTTTGTAAATTTCGACCTGTGAAAGTTTGTATGGGAATAGTATTATAGTGATCAAATATAGGTATGTATTTTAAACTAGATAGCTCTAATTAACGCTGATTAACATAAACAATTCAAATGGATTAATGTTAGTATAATTTAGGTAAATCATATTTCATGAAAATTTCCACCGAAGTTGGTACATATAATATATTAATTTTTTGCTGCTGTGAATAAATAATAATTTATTCTGTAATTACTTATGCAAAATCTTCTGGGCATTAAGTATTTAATTAGAAATTGTGCATTTAAATTAACAATTTTTACTATTTTGTACGTTTAAGAGGATTGTGAAGCTGTAAATTTTCATACAAAAAGCGATAACGTTTTTCCCCCCTTAAACATTGTCTAATTTTCATAATTTTTGGAAATGTTGTAGATATAATCAAAATCTAGGTCCGTACGTTTTTATTTTTTAGAAATATTGCGTACGATAGAAGTTATTAGCATCTAAATATCTATATTTTTGACCTAAAAACTTCCTCCAGCGTTTTTATTTTTTTAAATTAAACTAAACTGAATTACAAAAAAAGGAAAACGTACAGACCTAGATTAAGGTGTACTGAATCTAATGAGACCAAAATTGTCTCATTTCGTTAAAGTTTAGGGGGGTGAAAACGTTATCGCCCGAAACAATATTTCAAAAAGGAAATGTAGGTAATTGAGTCTAAGACTTGCAACTCTCTCTATCGCACCATACGGGTCGGGGGCAGGGGCATATTGTAGACTGTAGTGATGTTGAAGGTGCTATCGATATTATTATCTCCTAGAGAGGAGAAGGTAATATCGATATATCGATCGATACTGAAAGGATTCAATCCAAAGTTTAGAATTTTATTATACTCGTATGTATAGATTGTAACTAAGCCGTATCTGAACATTAAATATTTTTTGGCAAATATTATTGAAATAAACATTATTATCGATACAGAGGCCGAATCTATAGTTTTTTGAATTTTTGTCTGTCTGTCTGTTACCACGTCACAGAAAAACCACTGGAGGGATTTTGATGAAATTTGGTATGGTGGTAGCTGGTTATCCGGATCAACATATAGGATTACCGCGGGAAAATATCTCATTTCTGAGAAAAAATACAAAACTGAAAATATATATATCATTTTTAATTTACTGAAGACCTTTTGGGAATATACTATTTACATCATAACAACAACCTCTGTAACAAGAAAAAAATATATTTCTTAAATTTTCATTTTTATACAAAAATAAAAATATTTTCTATATCATCATCATCATTATATCTAGCTAAGTTTAAATGAGTAAGGGCCACTTCCTACACCCCTCCACCCCTCGCCCTCCACCGGTCACGCGCTTTCTTTTGCTAATTGCTGGACTATTACCGTTTAGAAGGAGCAATAAAAATACTTTTATTTTTGTAAAATTTATATTTTCTATATTTGTTATAAT